TGTGCCTACTCACATGTTCCATTTCTCTGACACGTAGGAACCTTTTGATAAAAAAAAATGGCTCCTCTGCTGGCCCCAACCCCATCCGGCACCAGGCTCGCTCTGCGCACGAGGGGTGGCGACTCCAGGTCTGCAGTGCCAGTGTGGGCTCCGGGCCCCCTGGCCAGGGAGCTGGGCAGGCCTGCGGCCCGGGTCCATGGCCCAGGCTCCTGGTCCAGGTTCTGAAAAGGTCCATGGCTAGTGCTAGGGCTAGATGAAGACCTTTAAGAAAACATTTTAATTCCTTGTTTAAGAAACATGGATTTGTTGTTCCAGTCATATACATTCTTTGGTTGATTCTTGTCTGTGCCCTGAATGAGAATCAACCCTCAACCTTGGCTTATGCCAACGCTTTAACCACCTGATCAAGACGTTTAAAACCTAGGAAAGTTTATGGTGTCCTTCGATTTGTTATTAGGAAACAAACAAACAAAGAAACTGCAAGACTTAGATTTCCCCGTGTGTTGTTCTTTTACGATTATATTAAAATGTATTTCAAAACTTCTTTGTGCACAGGCCAGCCTCACATTGGGCCCTGCTGTTTACTGGTTGGATAATCCTGAGTGAACTATGTACTGTCATTTTCTGATCAGTAAAACCATAGAGCTTACTTTATTAGAAGTTACAAGGACTAAATGAGATAATTCATGGAAAGGGCTCAGTTTGGCCCCTGAGATGTGGGGACCAAATGTGGCTGTTCATAGTTCAGTTCCCCATGTTCCCTACTGGGGACAGCCTACTCCCGTTCTCCAAGGCGGGCGGGCACACAGAGGGAGGTGGCAGTGCTCCCCAAAATGTGGGGAAATGAATGACCCCCAAAGCAGACTCAAGGGTCCCAGGTTTGATTCTGGTCAAAGGCATGTACCTTGGTTGTGGGCTCATACCCAGTAGGGAGTGTACAGGAGGCAACTGATAGATGTTTCTCTTTCATCAATGTTTCTAACTCTATCACTCTCCCTTCCACTCTGTAAAAAATCAATAAAATATATTTTTTAAAAGATTAAACAAAAAAAGGATCACATTAAAAATTCTGGGTAAACTCTTGAACTTCAACCAGACAGTCACAAACAAACCTAAGCCCAGAGATGCTTGAGTTTTTCTAAAGAAGATGATGGTTTTTGCCTGCCCCCCATAGATTCATTAAATGGTTGACTCTGGGAAATATCTCATTGAATAGCTGGCTCTGCAGTTATAATCTAGAAAGAAGGGCCCTGAGTAGTCTCTCTGTAATAAGAGACCCTCTGGAAAGTCTTGGAACACATTTCCAAGAAGGCCCTGGTAACAGAAGCTTCAGGTTTGTGTGTTTAGGGTGGTCTGGGGTAGTTGACTCTGGCAGTAGTACCTCAGAGTGGGAGGGGCTGTTCATTATGATGTAGCTTTTTGTTTGTAGGTTAGGGCAATCTGATGTGGCTTTTTGTTTGTCTCTCCCTACTGATCTGGCAAACCTCCACGCCCTTGACACTGCTAGTCACCAGGTAATGTTAATAAGTTATGAGTTACCGGACCCTGGTGAATAGAAGTATGATCCACCCAACTGTGGCTTTGCATCTAATCTGTTGCCTTGGGACAGATAACTTCATCCCCCAGGGCCTCCATGAATGAACTATAAAGTAAGAACATTGGGTTTTATCTTTGAGGACTCGTCTAGTCTTAAAGTTCATCAGCTTTTGAGGCCCCAGGCTCCTAGGAACAGTAACTATACTCTTGGGCATCTGTGAGTCTCTTCCCTGGCAGTCTCCGTCTAGCAAGTTTATTTCGGAAGCTGAATTCACAAGAAGTCTTCCCACTAGAGAGTAAC